CTTGTAAAAAAAAAAAAATACTCCTCATATCTTTCTAATATACTCCTTATGCTTTTGCATTTTGTTGGATTTCAAATCAAAATTTGTAAAATCACTGTGCAGACATTTTTCAAAAAGGCAATTGACATGGTTTCGAAATGAGCATATATATCACTGGCTTGATGCTTCTAAACCCCTGGTATGACACGTTGATTGTTCATGCATCAGCTTGTTTCTGTTCTCTTTTCTTATTTCTATTCAAATTACATAATTTGGTCACTAGGAAAAGTAGTGCTGTCATTTCCTCATCCTCAGTATTTTACAACCTTCATTCTCTAAAAGTTGATCGTCAACATTCTTGTCTTTTAATTGATTAAATTATGTAATCAATTTCTTAGAGGAAGGGTTTGATTCTATTTTCTCCGTTCTGATTATTGTATAATGTGGCTTTTCAATGTAGTCCATTGATAAGACTTGATTTAAGACTAAAAATGATAGGTTTGCATGTTCAGTTGAAGATTATCTGGGATGAAAAATGTATTTTCATGCATATAATTTAGGGAAAATGTGCATAATTTGTGATTATTGACTTTTGAATTCAGTTATAGGTAAATGAAGGCTAATTTGTGTAAATATGCTTATTTTGTAAGGAAAAGTGAAGATATGATCAAAATGTGTGAGGCACATTGCAGGACCAAAATTTATGGCTTACTCTAAGAATGAGCCAGTCAAGTTACTTTGAAAGTTCTAGCTTCACAATGCTTCAACCACATTCGATGCCTAGATTGTCAAAACGGGAATAATAACTTTTGACCAAGTAATTGGTCAAAGATTTGTTATAAGTTCCTAATATCTCTACAACAACTAGTGGTTGCCAACTTGCCTTGAATTTCTCAAATCCGTATTACTTTCATGGCCTATAAAAGGAGCCTCCAAGCATCACTTGTACACATCTCATTTTCCATACTTTTGTTTTTCTTTCTACTTTAGTTTTGTAGTTTTTATTTAAGTTTTGTTTCCAATTATTTTTCTACAATTACTCTTGTTTATTTTATTGCAATTCAATTTGTTTTATTTTGTACTTTCTTTCCAATTCTAATTAAAATGCTTTCTTTTGTTATCTTCTCTTGTGTTTTAATTTCTTTCAATTACATGAGTAGGTAAATTGTTTCTTCAACCCTTATACGAGTTTAATTCATCTATTTAAATTACATCTATCAGTGAGCACGACGTATTACGCTCTCTTTTGTTTATCTTGATTGATCTAATTTATCCAGTTGATTTTCTTGTTGGCCACTTGTTTAAATCACATTAGTTTGAATTTAATTCTGAAAAGGTTAGAGTCAAATGGATCTCATCAAGGTAAAACGGGAAGTTACTTAGAAATAAGAATTAAAACAAGATCCTAAACATAGGCTCTCATACCCGTTAAACGTAAGTTGACATTCAATTTATTTAGGATTCTAGAGTTGCATAGATATATGTAAACACTAGCCTAAACTTCTAAACAAACCAAAAGCGGTATGGAATAGGAGTTGAACCAGNTTCTAGAGTTGCATAGATATATGTAAACACTAGCCTAAACTTCTAAACAAACCAAAAGCGGTATGGAATAGGAGTTGAACCAGTTTGCATAAATTAAGCGTAATTACGGGCACATTTGGTAGGTGTAATTCATCATTTTAGAACTAAACAGTAGTAGAGGGGTTGGCCTTTTAAATTCTATTATTTTCGTGTGTTTTTCGTGTTCAACCAATTTCACCAATTTTTATCACAAACCTGATTGCTCATTCCAGCAGTTTTCAAATTCAATTTTAAAAGAAAACCTAGACCCTGTGGAGACGAACTTGGAGTACTTCTATATTATTACTTGTGACAGTGTGCACTTGCACTCTACCCTCTAGCTATTAAGCAGAGGCGCAGCATCCCTATTATTTAAAAATTTTCATTTTATTATTTTATGTTTAAACATTTTTCAAGTATACACTTTCTATTGGTGAATGTTAAACTTGACAAATGACAAGCTGAATGTATGAGAAAAATACATGTAGGAAAGTGCACTCAACATTATTTATGATGCTTACCACAAGGAGAGTGGAAATATCACGGTTACAGATTCACTAAAAATGAAAAAAGATGTTTCCAGTCGCCGAGAAGTTTTTGAGCTCAAGGCTTATCGTTCGAGGAATAGGTATCTCTTATAGTCAATTATTTTGGACATTATATCAAATCATGAAATGATCTAATAATAGCTTCTTCAACACCCCCCTCCCCAACCCAATTCACAGGTATTTTGTTAGACGTGAAGATTGTGCTAATGTTTTGGATTGGACAGGAAGAACACAAAGAGTAAACCAAGATTGTCTTCTTGCTTGAACGGGTGCGATTTTGACCCTATAATATGCATCCTTTCCATAATTTTTGGTACGATTATCTAATGTCTTATTTTTCAGCTTGTTTGAGTCAAATGCTTTTTGATTCATTGGTTTCTTTGTGGAGCTCAGGACTTGTGCATTAGTTGAGCAGTGTGAGTTCATTTTAGATCAAGGTGTTGTATTCTATTCTCTACTACCAATAATGTTGTTTCAATAACTTAAAGCATGTGATTGGTTATGTAGTTTGTAGTTATAGAATCCAAGAACGATGAGTTCATAAAATGATAAACCAGTCCTCAAAAAGTGGTCAGTATGGCTTAGTTTTGGAGCTTATCTTGTTTATTTTAAGGTATTTAGCTCTTGTATTAGTGTATTGCTTCAGATTCTGACTATTGATTCAAAATTCCATAATAATATGGCCTTTCGTTGGTAGTTTTTCTTCTTAATGTTCATTCTTCTCCAATCTGACTGTATAGTTTCTCGTTGAGCTTGTTATTTGTTTGCTTTGCCTTTTTCTTATTCCAACTATCATCTTGCATCAGTCTTTGAAGTTAAAACGTTTAACTTAATGACTCATAGTTTTATATAAACCTTATTCC